GGAGCCAGGAACCTCCACTGTTTTATCAACCAAAATCAAGTTGGACTGCTACTACTACTCTCCCTGAATATATACTAATCCCCTTTCCACAATTACCCTTACTCACACAATCTGTATTCTCAAAACAGACTCCTACCCATGACACCTGTGCTTTGTGGACCCTACTCCCTCAACAACCTTCCTAATGTCTTTTGCGCCCCTTAAGGGTGTAGACTTTATGCACTGCTGGTTTATCAGTCTGCAAAGAATGTTTTTCCTCTGCAGATTGCCCCCTGCTAGCAACTCCTTCTACATCACACTTTTCAACTTTAGCCTTCTCGTGATCACTAGCTTCATCAATTTCATGTAAATTAGTTGTTGGGTTGACTAGGAAATTAGGGAGATTAGCAGCTACTTCCAAGTTGTATCTCTAATTTCCTCATAACTTTCTACTCTTGGTCTTTCATTCTCATCCTTTCCAGTTACATCACCCATTTGAGCAATAGCCTTCTCATGATGACCAGAATCATTCATGCTCGCAGCATTCGCATCCAAAGAGGCAATCATAGGATTCACTTGATTCAAGATCTGCTGATGATCATCACTTTTCCCTTCACCAGACAGGTTTTTGACCATTGGCATTCTACCTTCAAGCGGAAGGTTATCTTCCAAAATCATCTCTGAAGCAGATGCCTTGGTGACTTCACTCGACTGTATTGAATGGAAGCCAGTACAATTATCCACTGAAAGAGGATTGTCAATATCATCTTTCTTGTCTTTATTTATTTCACTTGAAACTTAATCTGATGTTACAGATTGGAGAAATTTGAGTCCCTTATAATCTTTAAAATCTCGGAGCATGACCTCAGCATGGTCTACCACAGGAATATCAGATGGTACAGAAAGCTCGTGCACATTTTCTTTCCCTTCTCCCATTCCAATCAAGCCCTTACATGAATTGACTGAACCAGCCACGTCCAGTCATTGTTGAGCATCAACCTTAACTTGAGCAGCATCAATAAAACCCATAAGTTCAAAAGATTCAACTTCAGCATCAACCTTTTGTTGCCAACTTTCTGTACTATCATCTTCCCTTGTTCCTCTTCCTTATTTACAAGTCGCATTCGGACTATCACCTTATCCACACCATCCAATCTAGAGAAATTAGAATATACTCTGTATACAGTTGGGCAGTAAAACAACTTAATAACATTCAAGAATATCAGCAATATATAACCTAGTTATCCTTTTTATTTTTTAACCATGTACGCAAATTTCCAATTTCTCTCTCTCTTCTGATACAGAACAAAAAAATAAAGAAACTCAACAATTTCTCGCTTTTCCACTCAGTAACAAAACAGAAGCTTTAAAATTTACATTTTCTCAAGCTTGAGTCACTTTTTCCCCAAATTCTATCAAAAAGATCAAAACAATTACTTACTTGAACACCTGAGTCAAGGACCCCAACCATTACGTTCTCGGGAAGTGTATCAATGGCGAGCTTGCCCTTGAGTGGATTGGGCGGGCATGGGGGCAGCGGACTCTTCATCTTGGAAGATGCCGGAAAAGGCGGAAGAAGTGAGTGCAGATCTGACGGTGGAGCATTTTCTTGCCACGGATGGGAATTCACTTTTATTTCGGGGGCTGTGACGATGATCAGTGATCACTGGCCCGTTTAAGAATTGTTTTTATTTTAAATTTATTAATTAAGTAATAATTGAAAAATATGTATTAGTTTTTAATAAAATGATTTTTTTATAGACTATGGAATGTAATTCATACACCAAACATAGCATAAATATAAAGTAATACTATACTATGCAATTTGATTAATGCTATACAACCTCACTAGTTAAACATACGCAAAAGTTCAAATTAGTACAAAAATCCACATTTAATTGAGAAGAAAAATTAATTCAAAGGAATTTCAAGCAACAAAGTATTATAATTAAAATAAAGTTTATTAAATGTTATGCTATATTACTAATAGGGCTGGTTAATGAACCGAGCCGCTCGTGAGCTGGCTCGGCTCGACTCGACTCAAGTCCGACTCGTTAATGGCTCAGTTTGTCTTATTACACGCCGGCTCGACTCGGCTCGTGAGACAAAACGAGCCAAGTTCGAGCCATACAAGGCTCGGCTCGTCAGGCTCGCGAGCCGTGCCTGGCTTGAAATAGCGGGGGGTTTTTAAGAATTTGTAAACTATTGGGATTTAATTGAAACTAATGCAAACAAGTTTTAAAAAATAACAAAATAGCCCCCTTTATTAAAATCCCTAAATCACGAAAAATCTATCACTAGTAGAACCATGGCCATAAAATTTGAATCAAATCCTCCCAAAGTAACGATTTCGGCCAGATCTTCTTCATCTTCGTCAGCTTCGAGGGATCTTCGTGGGATATAGTTCATCTTCTCGGACCGTTGACAGCCGTTGGATTTCATCATCGTCGTCTGATCATTGTTGGATCTTTGTCAGAACTTCGTCTTCTTCGTACGAGCTTCATCAGATCTGAATCGTCTTCGTTAGAGTTGAAGTTTCTTCATCGGTTCGTCATCATCTTTGTCGGATTTTCGTCGGACTTTAATCGGTGAGTAGGGGGTTTCTTCGTCGTATCTTCATCATCTGCTATTATCGTTTGTTTGGGGTTTCTTCAATTTTTTTCAGATTTTAACTTGTTTTTTTCATGAATTGTTTATTTGTAACAGGGGGGTTTTTCCGATGAAAGAATTCAAGAAGAGCAGACTGAAATTGCTTTACTGGTGGTTGACTATGGTGGAGTTGCTGTGAAACCCACACAAGGTTAATGTTTGTGTTCTATCTGTGAAGACTAGTGTCGTGTATTGTTTATTTAAATTGCTTTACTGAAATTGAAATTATTTGTGAATTGTGATTATGGTTGTGTTGGGACAAAATTTCAATTGCAAAGGAGTTTCATAATGGTTGACAGGTTGTTATTTATAAATTTGTTTGTGGGAATTTGGTTATGGGGTTTTGCATTTGGTGGTGGGGACTAGCCGACTGGTAGTTTATAAATATGTTTGTGGCTTGTTGTGGGAATGTGGTCCTGCATCTGGTGGTGGGGACTGGGGGATTTAAAAATTTGTTTCTGGCTTGTGGGAATGTGTTGGTGTGGGGTAAAGAAAGAAGAGCCAGTGCCTTAAAGATGACATTTATGAAGGCATAGAAAATAGAATATTACACAACATGATGTTGTCGGAATAGAAGCTTTTTTCTTTTAATATCTCACTATGTCATTAGCTTCTACTTATCAACCTTTTTCTAAATGTAAACTTTGTTTCTTTCATTTGAACTCTCTTAAATGTTCCTTATTCCAATTAATTATAGAGGGTTAATAACAGATTAACAGTGCTAACCCTCACATGGCTACCTCATTCTTTATAGCTCTAAAAAGAAAGTATACTCTTCTGTCCATGGAGAAAATCTAAGTCAAAGAATAAAAATTAAGTGTCTGATAAGCATGTGCAATGAGTTGTCCCTAGTGCATTTCAGCCACAAGTTTATTTATAACAATGGGTGTTGGGCCGAAGAAAACATTAATAGAATAGCCTTGTCATAATCAACAAGCACATGGATACTTAATAATCTTTCATTTTGATTGTACAGAAGGAATATGCAAGCCCTCTCTTGATTAATGGAAATGACAGGAAGGAATACCAACTTTTTTGTATTATACTTGAAATGCTTGACCATATTATTTGTTACCTTGTCTTGTATTTTAACCTTTTCAATACCCACCAGCTTGTCAAAGCTTTATAAAATAACATGAACCCAATATGCATGGCAGCACATAGCCCAAGACCAAGGCCCCATACTGAAGTCTGATTCCCATCTCTCATGCATGCACACAAGTGTTGTGCGGCCACATTGCTCAATCAAATTCAAACTTTTTTTTGTGAAAGCCAAAAGGGATAGCAAATTTTCTGCACTGATTGGAAAAAGAAGTGAATGGATTGGACATTAAAGAAAATAAAGCATTATGTACCCTTCCAGTTTATTTACATAAATGAAGTTTACATATGCAACTTTAATGAATTCAAAATAGAACATGTGAGTTGCAAATGAAAGTGAGACAAATTTCAAAATATAACATGTGAAACTTAATCAAACATGATACAAAACCAATATCTCTAATTAAAGAATAAATGAATGTTGGGATGTATTGGTGACAATTAATATTGGTGTGCAATGTATAATGTATTGGTTTTGCATTAAATTGTTGATTTTTTTTTTTTCCATTTATAGGTTTGTAAATGGAGGGTAATTCCTTAAGTACCCCTACAATATAAGATACAATTACTGATACACTTGGTATTAGTAACCCGGATAATGGTGATGAAAATCAAAATCCGATTCAGAAGCAAAAAAGAGCGAAGACTTCAGTGGCATGGTCGGAGTTCAACGAGGTGGTACTCCCTAATGGCACCAAAAAGGCTGAGTGTATCCATTGCAAAGTCAAGTTGTGTATTAATGCCACCGGAAGCACCACCCAGTTCAATAGACATTTAAGCCGATGTTTAAGGAGAAAAGCTTCCATGAGGCAATAACATATTAGTTTCTGACTGCCGGTAATGATGTTCCAATTACTATTTTGCCAGCTTCAAGTGGGAAGTTTGACGTGTCGAAAATGAGGGAATTGATCGCCCATTAGGTGCTTATGCATAAGCATCCATTTACAGTTGTGGAGGAGGAGGGCTTGAACAATATGATGAAGTATGGGATTCCTGGATAGACTCCGGTTTCCCGTTATACTTGTAAAAAAGATTGTATGAAGGTATATGAAAGTGAGAAGGCCAAATTGAAGACTTTGTTGAAGACTGTGACAAAAATCAGTTTGACTACAGACTTATGGAATTCAGGGAATCAAAAGATGGAGTATATGGTGTTGACCGGGCATTGGATAGATAGTACTTGAAGGCTTAATAGACGTATCCTCAACTTTGTTCGTCTACCTACTCCCGGGACTGGTATTGCGATTGCGGATGGCATTTTCAAGTGCCGAATGGGATGGGGAATTGAAAATAAGGTATATACTATTTCTGTAGATAATGCTTTAAGTAATGATGTTGCGATTAAGGTTTTGAAGGAAAATTTTGAAGTTTCAGGGAAACTCCTTTATGGAGGTAAGCTGTTTCATGTGAGATGCTGTGCACACATCTTGAACCTGATTGTTCAAGATGGACTTCATCAAATTAGGCACATCATTGATGACATCTATGAGAGTGTGTTGTATATCAACAGTTTAGAAAGCAGACTCAAGGTATTTTCTGAGATTGTTCAACAACTTAAATCGCCGTATCGGAAACTTATTCTTCATTGTAAAACAAGATGGAATTCTACCTATGAAATGTTGGCAACGGCAATTAAGTTCAAAAAGGTTTTTCCAAGAGTGAAAGAAAGGGATATCAATTATCATAATAATCTGAGTGACGAGGATTGGGAGAAAGTAGAGAAAGTTTGTGAAGTTTTGAAAGTATTCAGTGGTTCAACCAAACTCGTTTCAGGAAGTGATTATCCGACATCTAATTTATTCTTGAAGGAGGTGTGTTCAGTGAAATATATGTTGGATAGTAAAAGTGAATCTGAAGATGATTTTATTAGAGTAATGGTTAGGAAAATGAAACATAAGTTTGATAAATATTGGGGGGAATGTAATGTGTTGATGTCTGTGGCTGCTGTATTGGATCCTCGGTTAAAAATGAGGGTCATTCAATGGGCATTCCCTAAGATGTATATTGAGGTAGAAGGACGGGCAAATATGGTGATGATCCGGGATGTATTGTATGAGTTATATAGGGAGTATGTTCAAGCTAACCAAGGTGTGACTATCGCCCGTGCTTCTACATCACAAAGGGATGGACATGGAGCCATTGGTGAGGCGGCTGCGGTTGAGGGAGCCGAGGCCTGGGATGATTTTAGCACTTTTCTAGACGTGGTTGACACTGTTGAGCCTAGTCAGTCTGAGTTGGACTGTTATTTGGGAGAGGGATGCCATAAGTGTGTGGGGGATCATGACTCATTCGATACCTTATAGTGGTGGAAGGCAAATTCAACCAAGTTTCCTGTATTGTCTAAGATGGCTCAAGAGATACTAGCCATCCCGATCACTACGGTTGCTTCAGAGTCTGCATTCAGTGCTGGGAGCAGGGTTATTGATAGTTACCGAGCTTCTTTGTCACCAGCTACGGTGGAGATGTTGTTATGTGGATGTGACTGGTGTTGCACTTTGAATGGAGTGAAGAAAGGGTGCAAAGTAAGTTCCATTGCTTACATATTTTGTTTAATTCTATATTTAAAATAACTTTATTCTAACCTATAGATTATTTTTATCTATTTTTCATCTTAGAAAGAGGAGGATGAGAATCACTTGGAGATTCAGCTTCCTGTTCTATCAGGTGATGGGAGTCAGCAGATTGGTTGATTCACTCGCGAGTTATTAGCTGTGGTAGTAGGAATCTGTAGGTCAATATTTATTACTTTTGTGTTGAGGTTTGCATTTTCATCTTTATGGTTTATATAAAATGACAATTGTACTTAATATGTTTCACATTAATTTGTTTGTAGGAGGAGTGGGGCTACAATAGACATACAACCAATTATCTTTTGCTATTATATATATTTTTTGATGGATGGGGATGTCACTTGATGTATAGTTATGCTAATCCCCTATTTTGTTTTTGTGAAAACTTTATTAAGTCAAGTGAACTAAACAAAAATTATTTAGTTCACTTAACTTAATTTGTGGTACATACAGTATGTTAAATGATAAATTGTTAATAGCAGTAGCTTTTCATTTAATATTGATTTTAAGTAAGTTTAACTGTTGGGTGATGTATAAGGACCTGAGAAAACATGCAGACAATCAGATTAAGACCTACGTGCTGCCCAGCAAATTAAAAAATAATAAATGAAAAGTGAAAAATAAATGAATCAGTTTGACAAAAATAAATCAGTTTGACAAAATAAATGAAAAGTGGAAAATTTAACAAAATGCATCAGACATTAGTGATTCTTCCTCTGCCCAGCAAATTAATGAAAAGTTAAATTATAATTTTTCAATTTTAAGCCCTTCTGAATTCGCCTGCCATATTTAAATATTTTAAACTAGATTTTCTCATTTTCAATTTTGAACATTGATTTAGCTTAATTATGATTTGCATTTATTTGAATTTCAGACAATCAGACATTCAGACTGTTGCCCAACGATTTTTTGTAAAAAAAATTGAATTAAAAAAAAAAATTATTTGGAGATGGCTCGCGAGCCGGCTCGAACTCTACTCGATTAGCCGGCTCGGTAACCGGCTCGAAATATACTAAATCTATTACCGAGCCGAGCCATATAATTTCTGGCTCGGCTCGGTCTCGGTCTCGGTCTCGGCTCGTTTAATCTTCTTCTCTCACGATATGGCTTGGCTCGGTCTCGGCTCGTTTAATCTTCTTCTCTCACGAGTCGATAACACTCCTAATTACTAATGTACTAACTATGTTGGTCGTTATTTATAAATATGACTAATATAATATATTTTAACTTTTTTTTTTTTTTAATAAACTAGTACATTAAATTATCAATGCATATATTGAATTCTAAGTATCAGTATCCTACAAATTATATATTAATATTTTGTTAATATTTAATGATTTATACATAATACCATAACATATAAATATAATATAATATCAATTTTATGTAATAATTAATATAATTATCAATGATAAAGTTAAAATTTTAGATAACAATGACATTAATCTATCAAATTTTATCATACAGTTTTTACCAATACTTAAGGTCGAGTTGAGAGATCAATATTTAGATAGGTTAGGTTGACACAAATAATAAGGTTGAATTCGAGCACGAGATCGGATTCAAGTTAAAGACTTAAACCAACCCCCACTTATACCAAATTATTATTGTACCTTGACACAACCTAAACGCCATTTTGATGCCACTCCCAGTAATGCACTCAATACTGTTGAGTGTTATTATTTTCCCCAGGATCATGAACGGGTAGGACAACCCACAATTGCAAATAAATGACTAACAGGATTAAAACAAACTTACTTCCAGTAAACTTTATCATTAGTATAATTCAATCTTCACATTTTTGAAATAATCATGTGTATTGTTTATATACAAATTTAATAAATGACTGAAATGTTGCTATCGATTTTTCTGTAACAAAAATAGAAAAACTGCTATACACTGCATTACCAAACAATCAATGCTTAGTAAGAATTAAAGTAATCTGCTAGGCTAAGCGTTAACTGATGGATGGCAACATTGGGTTCATGCCAAATCCAGATCCCCCAAATGTACCAGGTTCAGCATGCTTCACCCTACCAAAATAACGGATATGACGCAAGAGCCTTGCCAGGAAAGTATTGTGGCATATTGTTGAGCTATCACACACAACTGCTACATGTTTACGTGCCCTTGTTATCGCTACATTCATTCGCCTACTATCCCCAAGAAATCCAACAGCTCCCAACGTGTTTGACCGAACCTGAAAAATACATCATACATTGTTGGTTAATGCACAAAAGTGCTTGAAATGTGTAAAAATTGGGTCAATCATTGATTTCCACTGCAACTGATTTAGATTTCACATTAAACAATTTGGAAATATTCCATGCCTAATGGGTAATCTAACTTCCCAGTGTTCTTCTATTTCATTCAAAAATTTGCAATTTTATCTCTCATGTTTCTGGATTCTCAATTATCTTTTTCTTTTAACCACAAAAAGGAAGTATCCTCCTGGACTCTAAGACATTTTCCCTATCATAGAAATATTTTCGCACACAGGCTAATAAGAAAAAAATGAATTTTGAGGGACAAGCTGCCTAATTTCTAATTTACATTGTTTCACTATCTTCATAAAAAACCACAGGAATCTGAAAGTCAGTCTCTACAATGTTTGATTATAAGTCAGTAACTGTGATAGTCTCATAAATTAGATTATTAACTTCTAATAATGGCTTTCTTCTCAAAGGAAGAAACCAAAATGTTAATGGAAAGTGTCTCAAAAAAGAAGCCGAGTATATTCATTTAGCTAGATGAGTAAAATCCAAGACCTTTTGGACCCCACCACATCCAATCAGCACTTAAGCAAAGGCTCAGGAGCAATAAGTATAATCATCAAAAGCTATAAAAAGTGATGAGTGCAACCTCAGACTTAAAATAGAACCATACCATTGATATAATTACTGCATCAGCCTCTCGGCCTTGAAAGCTATCAATAGTTGCAACCTCGACACCTCCAGCCTCTGGAAGCTCATCAAGCCTATCCCTCAAGAGTTGCACTTGAGCAACATAAGGAGATTGCACTGCAATCGCTGTTGGGCTGACACCTGCATGGTGGATTTGAAAAAAAACATGAATTTTCCTTGTTTAAAAATTGGTGATGTATTTATATCACAAATTGATTTTGTAAAAACAAAATTTAAAGCCCACAACACAGAATCGTTCTGGGTTCCAGGTTTTAAAAATGGAAATAACTGTTATATTTCATTCTAGACTAAAACCCTACATGAACATCCTTAGATTTTCAGTGCCTGACGTATTTTTATATTTAAAATCTTGTTTCTAGTAAAATTTCAGCATAAGAAATAAAATGTAGAATTCATATGAATACTTAGAAAAGGAATTAGTTATGAAAAATGTTAGTTTATGATAGACATGTTGTTTTGAGTCGTTCAGCTATCAGTTTTACACTTTACACTGACTCAACAGCTTCAAATAAGGTACCATTTATCTAGTAGTTGAGCTACAAGAATATGTAATATATGTATGCATATGTATGTATTTATACATTCATACGGAAAAAATGAAAAGTTTCCACTCTTTCTAACTGTTTTCTCTCTTTAATCTTTTCAATACAAATCATTTGTCCATATAGATATGTTTTCGTATGTAAAATTACCAAATCAAACTTCTTATTTATTATGTGCAGCCCATGTATATGTGTGCGTGATTGTACATTAATTCACAATTCAATTGAGTGCATGGTCAACAATGAAAATTCAGGAACAACTTGAATGTAAGTTTATATTTACCAGCATAAATCAAGGAAAAGACATGCTGCACCACTATTTCTGCCTCCCCTTCATTGTAAAATGAGCCTGTGCCAGCTAGATCAAGATGCTCTTCACAACCAACAGATAAACTTCCATATGGCATTCTTGTATCGAGCAACAACAATGGGCATTGCGTTATCCATGTGGGCTGCAACAATAGATGGAAATGCTTTTGACTAATGCTTTGTAATCTTCAGTAAAAGAGTGTTCCATTACAAGGTGGCCTTACAAGCTTCTAAAACCCCCTTACAGCAAAATTTAAGTTCATTTAAGATTTCTTTATAAAGATAATTTCTGGTTGTCCACAGAAAGGCACTTTCATTCCACATAGATATGCCTTCATTTTATGTAAGAAAGTTAATTTATCACAAAATTCTTTCTGACACGATAGTACTTGAAGAATTGTAGAAACTTAAATATGGAAAAGACTGGAAGCTGCCAAAAGCAACAGAAGAGTTGTATGCATTTTAATAAAACCCTTTAACAGTCACAATTTATACTTTAACGTCAAGATCTGTTCAATAAATCATCCAAAATTATTAAGATCTCACGGTAGATACTATGAAAATCAAGAAGCATCCATGCTTTAAGTATGGGTGACACAGATTGCTTGAAAGAAAGCTGGTCTCTGAAACAAATTAATAAAACAAGTGCATCGATGAGCTGATTATTCAATAAATCGGATAGAATCAACTATTGTTTATTTTGGGGTATTTAATACAATCTCCACTTTATTTTAAGTAGTGTAATAAGCAAGTGATGCACAAAATTACCATGTCAATAATATTTCTACACTCAAAAGTACTTCGCAGCAAATAATTTTTACATGCTATTCCATCAACATATTACTTCCATTAACAACTCAATGATTTCCAAAAGACAAAGGACACAACAAGAAAATGATTTTAACAGTTAAGGGAGCCTAAAGGATAGTACACCCTATTAGAGTCAGATTGTCAAAATCTAACAAAATTCTCTACCAGGGAAAGCTCTATTTTAGACATTGTTAACCATCTATTGCATTTTATGAGTGTTCTTTCTTAGATTCTTTGGACTGTCAACTTAATGGCACATCATCACTATCAACTAAAAAAAAGGAGTATAACAGAAGTGGGGTGCCAGTGAAAGCAAGGACTACAAAGCAAAAATATAAAGCAAATATTAGGAAATATACTGAGCAATGAAATATTATAAAAGAAATATAACAAACACAAGAAAGTAGTGTATATAATGGACGATTCATAGATAGTTATCATACCTTGACAAATGGAGAATCAACAAGTAGATGATCAGCAACAGTTAAAGAGGAGATTAGTGATCCACCATACATCTCCTTAGAGGCCCAACTAGCTATTGCATCATTCATACGGTACTGAGTTGTCAACTTTGTAGCAAGAACACCTTCATGCATATTTGAAGCTCTTTCCAGCAGGGATACTCCAAGGCCACCTTCTAAGGCTTTTCTAGATAGAATCACAGGAGCAAGTTGGCATTGGTCACCAGCAAGAATACAACGTTTTCCCTGCAATATTGGGATCCAGCAAGAAGGCTCAATTGCCTGCCCTGCTTCATCTATGACAGCCAAGTCAAACGTATCTAACTTTCGAATCAATGGATCAGCTGCTCCAGTATTAGTGGCAAGCACCACCTGGGCACTTGATAGTACTTCCTTTATTGCTTCCTTCTCCTTTTTCTTCAGTGTCTTCCCAAGCTGTTTTAGGAGCTGGCGAATGCCAGCAGCTAATGAATCATCCTTTAAACAATGTCTCAAGTCTTTTCTAAGATCCGACTTCTTCCTTTCAAACTCCATCAGAAAAGTTGCAAGCTTTGAATTGACAATTTCACCCAAAGACTTTGATGCTACAGCTGGAGATATGCGTGCCGGATTTCCAACTCGTACAATATCTAACCCAATACTGGAAAGTTTTTCAACCATATTGTCAACAGCTGCATTTGTAGGTGCTGTTACTAATACCCTTTCACCTTGTTGGACAGCAAGTGCAATAAGTTCCATAAGCAAACCTGTCTTTCCAGTACCGGGAGGGCCTTGGACAATCAGAAAAGGCCGCTTCTTATTTAAACCTAAGGCAATTGCCCTTTTCTGAGAAACATCAAAAGTTCCATTCTTCATCTGTCCATTCAATTTCACTTCTGCCCAATCTGCTATATCATTCTCTTCCAGCCATGAAACATCTTCCTTGTCTCCAAATAGTGTAGCCACTACAGCAATCGAAGGATTTTTCTTATGCAAACCACTCTTCTGAAGCAGCATCAATGCTTCACAATTGCGCTGTAAGCAAAGAGAGACACCATCACGAAAAAAAGAGGCAAATTTAAACCAAACCAAACCTAAAACAGGCATGTGCCTTATAATAGGCGGCAAAATGGTACAACACTGCAACCTTATGTACCAGAAAAGTGGGAATTTGATACTGCAAATAAATGACTAACAGGATTAAAACAAACTTACTTCCAGTAAACTTTTATCATTAGTATAATTCAATCTTCACATTTTTTAAATAATCATGTGTATTGTTTATATACAAATTTAATAAATGACTGAAATGTTGCTATCGATTTTTCTGTAACAAAAATAGAAAAACTGCTATACACAAATTGATGCAGAAGCATATTCCAAGAATATCTGCATTACCAAACAATCAATGCTTAGTAAGAATTAAAGTAATCTGCTAGGCTAAGCGTTAACTGATGGATGGCAACATTGGGTTCATGCCAAATCCAGATCCCCCAAATGTACCAGGTTCAGCATGCTTCACCCTACCAAAATAACGGATATGACGCAAGAGCCTCGCCAGGAAAGTATTGTGGCATATTGTTGAGCTATCACACACAACTGCTACATGTTTACGTGCCCTTGTTATCGCTACATTCATTCGCCTACTATCCCCAAGAAATCCAACAGCTCCCAACGTGTTTGACCGAACCTGAAAAATACATCATACATTGTTGGTTAATGCACAAAAGTGCTTGAAATGTGTAAAAATTGGGTCAATCATTGATTTCCACTGCAACTGATTTAGATTTCACATTAAACAATTTGGAAATATTCCATGCCTAATGGGTAATCTAACTTCCCAGTGTTCTTCTATTTCATTCAAAAATTTGCAATTTTATCTCTCATGTTTCTGGATTCTCAATTATCTTTTTCTTTTAACCACAAAAAGGAAGTATCCTCCTGGACTCTAAGACATTTTCCCTATCATAGAAATATTTTCGCACACAGGCTAATAAGAAAAAAATGAATTTTGAGGGACAAGCTGCCTAATTTCTAATTTACATTGTTTCACTATCTTCATAAAAAACCACAGGAATCTGAAAGTCAGTCTCTACAATGTTTGATTATAAGTCAGTAACTGTGATAGTCTCATAAATTAGATTATTAACTTCTAATAATGGCTTTCTTCTCAAAGGAAGAAACCAAAATGTTAATGGAAAGTGTCTCAAAAAAGAAGCCGAGTATATTCATTTAGCTAGATGAGTAAAATCCAAGACCTTTTGGACCCCACCACATCCAATCAGCACTTAAGCAAAGGCTCAGGAGCAATAAGTATAATCATCAAAAGCTATAAAAAGTGATGAGTGCAACCTCAGACTTAAAATAGAACCATACCATTGATATAATTACTGCATCAGCCTCTCGGCCTTGAAAGCTATCAATAGTTGCAACCTCGACACCTCCAGCCTCTGGAAGCTCATCAAGCCTATCCCTCAAGAGTTGCACTTGAGCAACATAAGGAGATTGCACTGCAATCGCTGTTGGGCTGACACCTGCATGGTGGATTTGAAAAAAAACATGAATTTTCCTTGTTTAAAAATTGGTGATGTATTTATATCACAAATTGATTTTGTAAAAACAAAATTTAAAGCCCACAACACAGAATCGTTCTGGGTTCCAGGTTTTAAAAATGGAAATAACTGTTATATTTCATTCTAGACTAAAACCCTACATGAACATCCTTAGATTTTCAGTGCCTGACGTATTTTTATATTTAAAATCTTGTTTCTAGTAAAATTTCAGCATAAGAAATAAAATGTAGAATTCATATGAATACTTAGAAAAGGAATTAGTTATGAAAAATGTTAGTTTATGATAGACATGTTGTTTTGAGTCGTTCAGCTATCAGTTTTACACTTTACACTGACTCAACAGCTTCAAATAAGGTACCATTTATCTAGTAGTTGAGCTACAAGAATATGTAATATATGTATGCATATGTATGTATTTATACATTCATACGGAAAAAATGAAAAGTTTCCACTCTTTCTAACTGTTTTCTCTCTTTAATCTTTTCAATACAAATCATTTGTCCATATAGATATGTTTTCGTATGTAAAATTACCAAATCAAACTTCTTATTTATTATGTGCAGCCCATGTATATGTGTGCGTGATTGTACATTAATTCACAATTCAATTGAGTGCATGGTCAACAATGAAAATTCAGGAACAACTTGAATGTAAGTTTATATTTACCAGCATAAATCAAGGAAAAGACATGCTGCACCACTATTTCTGCCTCCCCTTCATTGTAAAATGAGCCTGTGCCAGCTAGATCAAGATGCTCTTCACAACCAACAGATAAACTTCCATATGGCATTCTTGTATCGAGCAACAACAATGGGCATTGCGTTATCCATGTGGGCTGCAACAATAGATGGAAATGCTTTTGACTAATGCTTTGTAATCTTCAGTAAAAGAGTGTTCCATTACAAGGTGGCCTTACAAGCTTCTAAAACCCCCTTACAGCAAAATTTAAGTTCATTTAAGATTTCTTTATAAAGATAATTTCTGGTTGTCCACAGAAAGGCACTTTCATTCCACATAGATATGCCTTCATTTTATGTAAGAAAGTTAATTTATCACAAAATTCTTTCTGACACGATAGTACTTGAAGAATTGTAGAAACTTAAATATGGAAAAGACTGGAAGCTGCCAAAAGCAACAGAAGAGTTGTATGCATTTTAATAAAACCCTTTAACAGTCACAATTTATACTTTAACGTCAAGATCTGTTCAATAAATCATCCAAAATTATTAAGATCTCACGGTAGATACTATGAAAATCAAGAAGCATCCATGCTTTAAGTATGGGTGACACAGATTGCTTGAAAGAAAGCTGGTCTCTGAAACAAATTAATAAAACAAGTGCATCGATGAGCTGATTATTCAATAAATCGGATAGAATCAACTATTGTTTATTTTGGGGTATTTAATACAATCTCCACTTTATTTTAAGTAGTGTAATAAGCAAGTGATGCACAAAATTACCATGTCAATAATATTTCTACACTCAAAAGTACTTCGCAGCAAATAATTTTTACATGCTATTCCATCAACATATTACTTCCATTAACAACTCAATGATTTCCAAAAGACAAAGGACACAACAAGAAAATGATTTTAACAGTTAAGGGAGCCTAAAGGATAGTACACCCTATTAGAGTCAGATTGTCAAAATCTAACAAAATTCTCTACCAGGGAAAGCTCTATTTTAGACATTGTTAACCATCTATTGCATTTTATGAGTGTTCTTTCTTAGATTCTTTGGACTGTCAACTTAATGGCACATCATCACTATCAACTAAAAAAAAGGAGTATAACAGAAGTGGGGTGCCAGTGAAAGCAAGGACTACAAAGCAAAAATATAAAGCAAATATTAGGAAATATACTGAGCAATGAAATATTATAAAAGAAATATAACAAACACAAGAAAGTAGTGTATATAATGGACGATTCATAGATAGTTATCATACCTTGACAAATGGAGAATCAACAAGTAGATGATCAGCAACAGTTAAAGAGGAGATTAGTGATCCACCATACATCTCCTTAGAGGCCCAACTAGCTATTGCATCATTCATACGGTACTGAGTTGTCAACTTTGTAGCAAGAACACCTTCATGCATATTTGAAGCTCTTTCCAGCAGGGATACTCCAAGGCCACCTTCTAAGGCTTTTCTAGATAGAATCACAGGAGCAAGTTGGCATTGGTCACCAGCAAGAATACAACGTTTTCCCTGCAATATTGGGATCCAGCAAGAAGGCTCAATTGCCTGCCCTGCTTCATCTATGACAGCCAAGTCAAACGTATCTAACTTTCGAATCAATGGATCAGCTGCTCCAGTATTAGTGGCAAGCACCACCTGGGCACTTGATAGTACTTCCTTTATTGCTTCCTTCTCCTTTTTCTTCAGTGTCTTCCCAAGCTGTTTTAGGAGCTGGCGAATGCCAGCAGCTAATGAATCATCCTTTAAACAATGTCTCAAGTCTTTTCTAAGATCCGACTTCTTCCTTTCAAACTCCATCAGAAAAGTTGCAAGCTTTGAATTGACAATTTCACCCAAAGACTTTGATGCTACAGCTGGAGATATGCGTGCCGGATTTCCAACTCGTACAATATCTAACCCAATACTGGAAAGTTTTTCAACCATATTGTCAACAGCTGCATTTGTAGGTGCTGTTACTAATACCCTTTCACCTTGTTGGACAGCAAGTGCAATAAGTTCCATAAGCAAACCTGTCTTTCCAGTACCGGGAGGGCCTTGGACAATCAGAAAAGGCCGCTTCTTATTTAAACCTAAGGCAATTGCCCTTTTCTGAGAAACATCAAAAGTTCCATTCTTCATCTGTCCATTCAATTTCACTTCTGCCCAATCTGCTATATCATTCTCTTCCAGCCATGAAACATCTTCCTTGTCTCCAAATAGTGTAGCCACTACAGCAATCGAAGGATTTTTCTTATGCAAACCACTCTTCTGAAGCAGCATCAATGCTTCACAATTGCGCTGTAAGCAAAGAGAGACACCATCACGAAAAAAAGAGGCAAATTTAAACCAAACCAAACCTAAAACAGGCATGTGCCTTATAATAGGCGGCAAAATGGTACAACACTGCAACCTTATGTACCAGAAAAGTGGGAATTTGATACCAAAAAAAAAAATAATAATAATAATAACCCAGGATTAGTTTATCGTACTATCAAGCTTGCTCTTTTCATTTATTCAGAGAGTAACTACCTCACTTGAATGTTTGAATCTTCACTGGGCTTTGTGGGAAATCTTTATCCAATTTATATAATGATGTTTTTAGGTAACAGTTACAGTATATTCTAATTTAAATATTAAATAATATTTTTACAAATTTTCTGACAGAAGCAAGATTATACAGTTAATAATCTTCCAATATGCTTAATTTACTGATACCTGAACTCTCACTAAAGGTCAACGATTCGTAGTAACACAAGTTGTACAAACCACTCAGGTTTCAAGATTGTGGGATATTTAAAGTATCTAATTCATACGACTTAACAGGACTACTTTAAAACAAGGATCCATTGATAGATATGATATTTTAGATGGCCAGAAAAATAATAACTGTCCACCAGACATTTGAGAATGCACATATTACTTAGCAAAACAAAATTGTCTATTTCTAATAATATCTTTGCAAATTACACAACTAAATATTCACACAACCCAACAAATTAAATTAGGTTGATAGTACACAAAGGCAGAAAAAATATAAGCTTTCCATATATTTTGAGGTCTATTCAGTATAACCCCCAAACAAGTTCCACAGTGACTTGTCTTTCCTTAGCATGATTGGTTTAAAGGAAAAATGTTGTAGTATGGCAGAAAAATATAAAATAAATGATTAATAAAATTTTGACTGTTACCAAACTATGTTCTGGTTCAAAAAAAATTTAGGAAAATTATACTCATCCATTCAAGGCCCAAAATTGGGGTTTGCTAAACTTCTCACACACTAATTTTGTCAAGATTATAGCTTTCTTTCTTTCTTTCATTCTTTTACTTTAAAATAATCTTTCATATTGTTTCTTACCTTAGAGATTTAAAATCACTTTGAAGATGCAGATACATACAGTTAATCTACATAAAAAAAAAAATCCAGATTCCCTAATCATACAGAACACTTACCTTTTCATTGGAAAAAAGAATGTAATTTATTAGTAAGGTGAATCCAGAACAACAGTGAAGCAAAATTAGAAGAGTAAGGTATCTAAGACAAACAAGGGTTAAAGCTAATAAACCTGCACCAAGAAGAGTTAATAAATAAAAGGAACAAGAGGCTAGCAAAGACATTGCTGAAAATCCAGCTCATATAGCTTGAGTGATGTAAGAACTTATGTATTAAACAACTGTTATAATTCTGGAGGTTAGAAGAGGCCATGGCATGGAAAGCATAAAAAGAGCAGGCCATAAAGTGAGTATCAAGAAAGCAGATGAAAACTCTCAGCAGTATGATTTAATGTGATTTAGAATAAGATTGCCCATTTTAAGCCACTTTTGCCATGTTCCCTTCTCACCGAGAGGGAATTATTGAAGACATGAAATCGCATTTTCTAAATTACCATGAGAGAGACTTTGGAACATGTAATAGTCACTACAGGTAAGGCCTTATACTATTTAAGTTGCACCTTAAAGAAACTTAAGAAGCCCTTGGGTTGTAAAACTAAAATCTTTATCTATATGCAATGCATAAACCAAGAGTTACTGATAGACTCCATTCATTAGGTACCTCATAAGTGAGTGTATCAGCCAATCCTTGGATACGATCAATACGCACACTCTTGCCAAAAAGCTTAGAGAATGTGGGATCACCATGACGAGATTCGAGAGCCACACTGATGCTACTGCCATCTTCCCCAAGATTGTGAACGAAGCCCTGCATGCAGGAAGTGGCACCTGCACCCCTGCTATCACAAATCCTCACGCATACCATGTCTCCAGGAGAAAGGGTGGTAGGTGGCAATCGATGATTACCTTCAACCCTAAACAACACCAAATGCATTCCTCCTAGACCTGTACAAAACCAATTCACACCACATGATAAGCTAAAATTGATCATTAAGCACGCTAACTAGCAATTTACAAGCACAGATAACATCCCAATCAATAAAATATCTGATCAATATCACACTGAAGAAAAAATTGTTCATGGTAAAGATAAATTGTTGAGAACCTGTGGATGTGCTAACTGCATACAAATTACAGATGGTGTCACATAGTTCTTGTTGAGCTCGCCCATGGCTAACCAAAAATTCAATCGGCTTCGAAGAATCAGAAGTCTCATCAGGAGTAGGAACAGCATTCAGCTCCTCCTGTGTGAACTCCAGTTCCGCATCCCTCTCTATGCGAAGTAATTCTGACATCCGATTTGAAAACTCATCAATTCTTTCCTGTATAGTCTTGACCCTCTTCAAATCCATTCCCAAAACACCTTGCACAGGCTTTGGTTGCGTAACCTTGCGAACCATAGCTCTATGCTGAGCTGCAAATGCACCATACTAATTTCATGATTCATTGGTAAACCCAATCTCATTCTCAATCAACAAAATGCTAAGCTAATGTTTTAATCTAACAATAAAAGTAAGTACCAGAAAAAAGGTACCTGAATTGGCAAGCTCCTTAAGGAGTTTCCATGATTGAGTTTGATGCCATTGTTGAACCACAGATTTGTTTTGTAGTAGTTGTAAAACATCCCTGAGTTCTCTCTGGAAGTGATCAAAGAGAGTTGGATAATGAGTGCAAGCCTTTAAACAAATGGCTTCAAGACCAAGAGGCATTGGAATAGCATTTAAATAAGGTTGAGCCTGTATTACAAAAGTAAGACCAGGACCCATTCTCTGTCTCAGCTCAGAAAACTCTCCCTCTCCCTGAACCTCTGCAGAAGCAAAATCTGAAGCCATTGCTCGCATTCCTTGACTTATCCATTTAACAACGCTCTTACCAAGATCTTTTCTCCCCAACGGATCCCCATTTTGATATAAAGTTCCAACATTCACTGTCTTGCTCCTCTCTGGCGTCTCTTTAATTGATCTTTCAACTATAACATTTGCATTGACATTACTAGTTTTAGTGTTGGAAACTCTTGATTTCGTAATAAAATTGGTTTTGTTGCGAGGCTGCTTAGGTTTAGGCTTTTTCTGGGTGCTACTAGTACTGTCGTTGCTGCAAATGAAACGATGTCGTTCTTGTTGTTGGCGTCCAATGAATAAACATATAGATCGAAAAGAAGAAGAGAAGGAGAAGTGTAAGGGAGGATTTGCAGCATTGACAGCAAATGTAGTTGTAGGGATGCTTCTGCTTCTGCTTCCGCAAAAACCGCATGAGGCTACTTCCATTTTCAGTTGTTAATGCTGATTTGATTTTCGTAATAAATGGAACTCATCGTTTTATTTCAATTTCATGTTGAAAAATTAGAGCCGCAAACAACAATATGAGGTGAGAGGAGGAGAGGAAGGGAGGGAGGGATTTTTATTAAATATGATAGTTTCAAAAGTAATAGAAAGTCGTTGTCAGAGACAGAGGAGGAGATCAGCAAGTTGAAGTGTGATTGGTTAAGTGTGATTCTGTACCACGGGCTGTTTGGTGGCTAACGTGTTTAAATTCTGATTTCTAATCCTTTCCTTTTGCTTCCTTTTGTTAGGGTAGACGTGCTTCATTTCTCACCATCAAAATATATGAGTTAACATTTCAAAGTCAACATTCTGTCTCTAGAAACTTCCCATATTCACTCTATAATCTCTCCTTTACAACTAAGGATCGGACTTTGATTCGTCTCGCCATCTGAAAACGGGATGAAATTTGCAAGATATACAGTAATAGCATTTTCTTTTTTCTTTTTAAGTATTGAGATACTCTAGTGTAGATCTTGAAAAGGAATACAAATGCTTAAAAATGATGTCCCTTGTTGACTACGAAATAAAATACAATTACGGAACACATATTATACATAAGGCTCGCATGTAATTGATTCTATCTTCTTCAAAAGGCTATTATTATTAGGTTACATAGATCTTAACTTTGGGCTTATATTTAATCTAAAAGTAATGTTATATCTACAACCTATTTTCACAAACTTTTTCTCACAATCCCGATGTGGTAGCTCGCAATTAGTCAAGTGAGACATATTAGAAGCTGACTAATTGCGAATTGTCACGTCGGAGTTGTGAAATGAAGTTTGTGAGAAGAGACTGTGGGTGTAGTATTTTCCTTAATCTAAACAATTTCTCTATTATTACCAATTTATATATAATTTCGCTTAATGTTCCCACAATTATATATATATATATGCAATGAGGCAAGCTGTGAGTTTGAGCACAAATTGAAGAATATGAGGTTTGTATCTCTTTTTCCACTTCCAGCTTCGGTGAGTCAATGGCGCATGTGGGATGGCGAACTCAAATTTGGTTAGATGTGGATGACTTGTGAGCAGCGGGGCTTGAATTTCGTTATGTAATGTTGGCGTTAGTGATCTACATATTTAGAGCTTTACAGTTTTGTTATGTAATGCCAAACCAGTCCTCTCTCCTACAACATCCTCACTTGAGCCCAATGCAAATCCACTTGACCCTCCACACCTACTCCATCACCTCCTGCACAGCCACCTATCTCACCATCACCTCCTCAAAATACATCTCCACCCCCATTGACATCTACACCTTCTCCCCCTCTTCCTCAACAATCCATTTCACCTACATCACCACCACCATCTCCAACTGTATCTAATCCAACAACCATTTCATCTCGACCACCACCACCACCAGCAATAGCATCCAGTCCACCAACGAGTTCATCGCCCCCACCACTACCAGTATCTAATCCACCACCACCAGTATTTACTTCACCAACGAATTCCCCTCCACCACCACCAACGGCCAATCCACCAACAAGTCTTCCTCCGCCATCAAATTCATCTCCATCACCACCATCTGATCCACCAAAAGCTTCACCTCCACCATAAACACCATCTACTCCTCCAAATAATCCAAATAAGTTCTAATCAAACTCCTTCTCAACCTGCTTCGGGCAGAGCTCCTTCTCCTTCAAAGCCATTTCAAAAACCTTGTCTTTCTCAATCTGTTCCTAGAGAGAAAGCAAAATACCTTGTCTTTCTCAAATCCCAGCTGTTGGCCAGATTTGCAAAAGAAGAAAAAGGAGAAGTAGTTGGCCAAAGAAATAAGAAAAAGAGAGGAGAAGGGAGGGAAGAGAAAAAGATGAAAAGGAAAAGCGATTGGTCGAATCTGCAAAAGAGAAAAAAAATAATTGAAGATGAGGAAGAGAAGAAAAAAGAAGAGAGGAGAGGGAAAATTCTGCAAAATTATCACATTGTCCTTCTTCAAACTAAATTCACTAACAGATTTTGATAGAAAGTAGTTGTTTGTCATTTCCAAACTTTTTAGGTACCAAATTGTTTTTACGGCAAACTAGGGGTGGATGCATGTCGTTCGGCCATGAAAAAACAAGGAAAGTCCATTCTCTCGCTACTATTACAAAGGATATTCTTTAGAGTCTTTTATTTAATAATACACAAAATGGGGTAATTTTGAGGGCTGACAAGTCTAATGTCATAGGGATAGTCTAGTTTTTAAGGTCTAAGTAACTAGTTCGGAGCAATGTTTTGGACAAGGAGAAATACATTCAAATTGACTTGAACGTCGAAAGGTTCTTGTAGACGTTAAAATCTACGGTTACGGAAAATGGTTTCTGATCCCGTGAGGTTGAGGCCACTAGCAATCCGCTGCACCTGCACACACAAAGAAACAGGTGTGAAGTGAACAGGAAACACTAGGGTGGTGTTTGCTGTAGGCACTTCGACACTCAAGTCAGCAAGCCTGAATGAAGCTAATTTAGTAAGGGTAAGGGAAAGAGAGGGTTACCGAAAGTTTAGTCGGAGACTAGAAATACGGCGGTGGTGTATAGCTCTCAAGGGTGAGAACTAGGTGGTTTGAAGGTGTAATGTTGAATGAACTGTTAGAGGGTATACCTCTATTTATATAGAAATAGTAGGATCTTTGAATCCTAGTAGGACTATGAGTCCATAATGGTTGAGGTTTAGTGAACAAGAAAGTCTTCAATTCACTTGCCTTAGTAGGGGAAAAAGTCCTATTTAGTCTAAGATTCAGATCTTAGATGAATTAGGATATAGATGGATCTCTTCGAGAGAATTCGGATAGTACCGAAATAGGAAGTAGGTAGCCTTAGGGTCTAAGTAAACCCTAGGTCCAGTAGGTGATCTTAGATCAATGGGCCGAGGCTCAGATAAACTGATGATAAGGCTTAAGTGAATTAAGGCCTTAGTGATTGGGCTCAATCTGTAAGTAACCTGGTGGGTGTAATAAGCTGACCCATTACGTGAATTCTATTGTAGGCCTAACCGAAATTGGGCCATGGCTCTGAGCTCTATTGAAGGTGTTTCGTTTTTGGGCCCATTGAGGCTGAGGACATTTTTTGGCCTTAATAGTTTGCCCCCTACTCTCTAAGTTAAGAAGTACTTAGCTTAGAGATTAGTTACTACTGCGTAAAGGTGTATTCAGTTGGTCTACCTGTCCAACTATGCAAGTATCAATGTAGATGTCAACTCTTCGGTTCATGGAACTAGGTCCTGAGTAAAATTCCTTCTATGAAGGTGACTCACTCGGTGTGCCAAGCCGAGTGGGTGAGTAGGAGTAAATTGGGAATTTGTTCTCGCTCGACGCATCAAACCGAGTGAGAAAACGCGATAAACAGAGACCTCACTCGGTGCATGGAGTCGAAAGAAAGTACGAGGCATATCCAGAGGCGTTTTTACTTGATGCATCGAACCGAGTGAAGGTTGTGCGGTTCCTTGAAGGTGTGTTCCACTCGATGCATTGAACTGAGCAAGTAGATATGAAGAACATACCGTGAAGGTGTCCTCACTCGATGCATCAAACCAAGTGAAAGGATGTGAGGAACATCCCATGAAGGTGTCCTCACTTGGTGCATCGAATCGAGTGAGAGGATGTGAGGAACATCCCATGAACGTGTCCTCGCTCGATGCATCGAGCAGAGTGAAAGGATGTGAGGAACATCCCATGAACGTGTCCTCTCTTGTTGCATCGAGCCAAGTGAAAGGATGTGAGGAACATCCCATGAAGGTGTCCTCACTTGGTGCATCGAACTGAGTGAGAGGATGTGAGGCACATCCTATAAAGGTGTCATCACTCAGTGCATCAATCCAAGTGAAAGGAAAACCAATTTCTTGGAGAAGCGTTCACTCAGCGCCTTGGACCAAGTGGGTAGGAATGGCAAAATCATGAAGGATCTTCTCCTGGTTCGCAATATCGAGTGAGTCTATTGACTTGTATGAAGGTCAAATTTCTTCCCAATGTAGCCATGCGGTTGGAAAGACCGAGTTGTTGGATGTTGGTGTCTTGCATCATAGGGGGATAACTTCATTTGGTTGGGCAAACCGAACGATTGGTTAGCGCCCTTAGGGCTTTGTAAAACGTGCATGACATGGCAGCTCTGAACTTTGAGTAGGAAACACGAAACGGAGTAACTTATCTCGGGACGCGTGTATGGTTAAGATCTCCTTTATACACTTAGGCAGGAAAACAAAGAATTGTGTCGTACGATGACCAGTCGGAGGCTAGCACGTGTACCTTTGCCATTAAAATTGAACCTTGTGACTATTCATTACCATTCTACTTCATTTTTTCTCTTTCTTCGCGTTTCTTCCTCCATTTCTTCATTTTTTTGGGCAATGGTTTTCGGGAATCTTCACGGTAAACATTGCTTTCTCTTGTTGTTTTTCGTTTCTCTTCTGCTTTTTTTTGTGTTTATGGTGGTTTTGAAGGAATTTGGGTGAAGTTTGGCATATTTTTTGGAAGAGTTTGAAGAGAGAAAAGTGTGAGGTTATTCGGTTTGAACCAGACGTTTCTGTGGTGATTTGGTTATTCTGTTTTGGTGTTTAAGAGATTTTGAGCATTTAGGCTTGATTTGGTGTGGTTCATTTTGTGTTTGGAGAGTGAGGTTCTAGGTTTTTCAAGCCATTTACGGTGTGTTTTTGGCTGATTTCTAGAGTTTTTGGGTTTTGGAAAGATAGAAGATGAAATCAATTTGCATAAGGCTTCCAATCGGTTCGTCTCAATCTGTTTAACCAAGTTAAGTAAGGTGGTTGATTAAGGGCTGGGGATTGGAGAATTTTTTTGAATTGGAGTTAAGACGCCTAAGTCGCCCGACCTCCTAGACTGAGTGGAGAGTGCAGGTTGAGTTAGTAAGTTTGGGGCATGGTCACTTGTCCTGACCAAGTTGAGTGTGTTTAAGACTTGGTAGTAAAACCAACAAGGGTTAATCGCTCGGTTGTTCTGACCGAGCCAAGTGACAAAGTTGTGTTTAGTTGAAAGGTGACGTACCTTAGACTTGGTGGAGATTCGGTTGGTTACCTGGGTCGACTGGAGTAAGGAGTGAATTAACTTCGATGACGCATCCAGAGTT